GTTCAGCTGCCTCTCCAGGGCCGGCGTGTGGCCTTTGGACCAGCAAGCTGAAGCGGAAAACAAGGTCTGAGAACTTGCAACTTGAGAAGATGATGGTTACCAGCCCTGCATTGCCTCAGGGAAGAACAGGAACTACTCTACCATTCTTGAAGTGAAGGTACTTAATGAGAATAGGACAGTGTGGAATGGGGTAAGTGAAGAGAAGAGGATAGAGAAAGATAGCAAGTGAGCAATAGAGAGACAGGACGTCAGTGAGAAACAGATAGGGTTTATTAACTGTTGATGATGACATGTATAGAATTCTCAACTGGATTGGTCTGAGAAGTGTTTCATGATGGGCAAAGTATTTTTACAAGCAAAACGAGAAATAGCAATTGACTGTTTTATAAAAATAATTAGAATAATAAAGATAATGATTGGGGAAAACAGAAAAGATATGGAATGTTGAAGTGGGGAGATTAATGTCTCTGTACTGACTGACGTGCATGGCATTCCCTTTTGAAGAAACAATGTAATACACTGTAAAGTTATATGTAATCCAATGTAATATGAAGAAGATATGATGATAAAAAATTTAAAAAAAAAAAATCCTGAAAAAAAAAAAGCTTTGCTTAAGAAAATTAGCCTGTCTCCCAACTAAAGTTTTTCTTTTTTAAAAAAAGAATTATTTTATTTTACTTTATTTATTATTATTTTTGGGTTTTATTTGTTTATTTTTGTTTTTGGAGAGGTTTTTGCTATCAGGAGTGTGCGCTTGCCAGAGAGACACAGAGACACAAAAAGTAAGAAATCAGCCCCCCCCCCAGGGGGTGGGCACACCACAATCCCTTCTCCATTCTCCTCTCGGGATCTTGGGCACATACACACACACGCCTGGTGTGAGTTTAAGCCACCAGGTCCAGGACTCAGACCACAGTGGACTACATGGGAGTCCAGCAACATAGCCACTATACCAACTGCTGGTCCGTATTTGTTTTTGTTTTTTAATTTGACCAGAAAGAGACAGACAGAGAGGGAAAGTGAGAAAGCAAGCTGCCAGGTTTGAGACTCAAACCACAGTCAGCCATGTGGGAGTCCAGCACCCTTATCCACCATGCCACCTGCTGGCCCCTAAAGTTTAAGTTTCTTGAAAACAGAAGTCATGCTTTATTTTTCTTTTTTTTTTTAATTATTTTTTTGTTATTATTTTTATTGTTTTAATTTGACCAGAGAGAGACAGAGAGAGAGAGAGAAAGGGAAAGTGAGAAAGTAAGCCACCAGATCTGGGACTCGAATCACTCAAGCCATGTGGGAGTCCAGTACCTTAATCACCACACCACCTGCTGGCTGTATGCTTTATTTTTCTACACCTTATAAAGCTACTAGCAGTGTTGGACACTCATTAAATACCACATAAATGTTTAACTAATAAAAATAATGTTTTCAGGTCTCATGGTTACTTTTAGAATAAACAAAAATTTAAGTTTCACTAACATCCAGATATCAAAGATAGATATTTCACATTTTCTATAATATATTGTAGGTATAAGTGTTTTTAATTAAAACTGGTTTTAAGGCTATGACTAAATACAAAACTATAGGTACATACCACCATGACCGAAACCTCCAGGACATAAAAAAGATCTTACTGTCATCACAAAAAATTATTCATAAACTAAGAGGTTTTTATTGAGTCCAAGACATCCAGGGTAAGATGTACTTGTACAGACAATTCAAAATAACATCCTCTTAGGCACACCCCCAAGCCTAGTAGGTAAAGGAGCTGGATCCCACATAGCTGATCGTGATTCAAATTGTAGCCCTAATGGCTTGAAAAAAACAAAAACACTTGGTGCATGCCCCAAATCCTGACAGGACAGAGAAATGGAGGAGAAGGAATTGTGGCATGATTAGGCCAACTGTGAAGTGCTTTATCTCTCTATATCACTCTCTAGAGAGCACATTAGCACTAAGATAGGGGGAAAAAATCATCTTGGTAAATTTGTGAGCAATCCTTTAATTATCTTCTAGGTTTCCAAATGGACTAAAACATAAACCACTCTTTATCCCCCTAGAGTTTTCTACTACTAAACAATGTGTCTTTTCCATCTTTCCTACTGTGCTAATTAAGAAGTAATTTAGAAACTTAAGCTATTTCTCATGAAACTTATTTTTGGATAAGTAATATTGGGTCATTGGAAAAGTCATGATGTATTTTTGCATCGAAACACATAGAAAAATATCCTGGCTTTTCCAACAACCCAATATTTTATTGTCCTACAACTGTGGCACGCTTAACTTCAGTAAGTAAAATATGTATTTGGCACCCAACTTATGCTCAAGTACTAAGTTTGGAGAAAATAACGACGGTAAGAAGCAGCTTCTTCCTTTGATAATGCTAATAGGGGTAGTTAAATAAAGTATAAGAAGGCAGGCAGGTGGGATTAAGGTGCTGAATTCCCACATGGTTAACCTCAGTTCGAGTCCTGGATCAGGCAGCTTGCCTTCCTGCTTTCCCTCTGTCTCTCCAGTCAAATTAAATAATAATAATAGTAAATAAAATTTAAAAATTTAAAAGGAAAAGTATACAAAAGTACAATTCAAGGCAAAATGTGGAATGACATTAGAGAAATTAAGTAGCTCTCACAGGTGATGACAGGACTTCACAGAATTTTTCACGCTAGATTTAGTCAATTTCATAGTAGAAACAAAATCACATACTTACTACAATTACAAGGCATTTTCCTCACTTTCCTAAATGTAAATGATGTTCGTATTCCCCTCTTGTTTAAAGTTAAGTCTCCAATATCACTGGTGATAATTCCACTTTTGTGACCCACAGAAGCTTGAACAGTGTCAAATTTTCTGGGTGTGATTCTAAAAACAATAGTCAACAGAATTAGTAAATATCACAATAATAAAAATTTTTGAGGACTCTTAAAAACTATTAAGGGAAGGGACCAGCAGTTGGCCTAATGGCTATGTCACTGGCCTCTCATGTAGCCAACAGTGGTTTGAGTCCCGGACCCGGTGGCTTAAACTCACGCTTGGGCGCGTGTGTGTGTGTGCCCAAGATCCCAAGAGAATGGAGCAGAAGAAATTGCAATGTGGCCTCTGTTTTTCTGGTGAGTGCACATGCCCTATAGCAAAACCTCTCTCCCCCCCCCCAAAAAAAAAAATATTAAGGGAATAGAAAAAATCTAAAAGAATGTATTACAAGTATCTATTGAACATTCTGAATTGTTAGACATTGTTAAAAAAAGGGGGAGGTGGGGCAAAGAAATGGATGCCTGCCAGGCCAACCAATAGCATGGTGGTTGGGGCAGCTGGGTCCCACACAGCCCCATAGTGGGCACGTGTGCATGCCCAAAATTCTGAGAGAACAGAGAAGGAGAGAGGATTGTGGCATGGCCCTTATATAAGTGGATCTAACTCTGGATTCTTCTATCCAACTGATCTATTTATCTATCTATAAGCCAATATTATACTCTTTTGATTATATAACTGCATAGACAGTCATAAAAGTCAGAATAAATCCAGGACCAGCAGGTGGCATGGTGGTTAAGGGACTGGACATTCCCACATGGTCGACCGCTGTTCAAGTGCCGGACCTAGTGACTTGCGTTATCATTTTCCCTCTCTCTCTGTGTCTCTCTATGATCATATTAAAAATAAATGAATGGAGACTGGTGGGTGATTTGGTGGTTAAGGTGCTGGATGCTCCCACATGGCTGACCACAGTTTCAGTTCCAGACCTGGTGGATTGCTTTCTCACTTTCTGTCTCTATCTCTCTGTCTCTGGTCAAATTAAAAATAAAATGAATGAATAAATAAAGTTAATTTTTTTTTAAATAAATGAATAAAATATTTAAATATTTTTAAAAATCAGATTAAATCCAACATTGTTTTTCCTGTTTCAAGATTTTGACTATTTTAGCTCCTTCATATTTCCATAAAAAATTTAGAATCAGCTTGTCTATTTCTACAAAAAAAGTCTTTTAGACTTCTTTTTAAGAGAGATTTTTTGCTATAAGGCCTGTGTGCTCACCACAGACAGACTGAAAGCGAGAAATCATCCCCCAGGGGGGTTGGCCATGCTGCAATCCCTTCTCCTCCATTCGCCTCTTGGGATCTTGGGCGCACATGCACACACGCCCAGCATGAGTTTTAAGCCACCAGGTCTGAGACTCAAACTGTGGTTGACTACATGGGAGTTCAGCAACGTAACCATTACACCATCTGCTGGCCACGAGTCTTTTAGATTTCTGATTAAATTACACTGAATCCAGAGACCAATTTGTAGACAACTGTTATCTCAAAAACATTAAATTTCCTATCAATGATGATGACAGCATCTATATCTTTCCATTTATTTTAAGCTTCTTTAATTTCTCTCAGCAATGCTTCATACATTTCAATGTATATATGTCACCTTCTTTTAGGTGGGAGGCTATCATCACAGGGCACTTGAGCTTATCAGAAAGAGACACAGACAGAAAGAAAGAAAATGAGAAATCCCCCCCTCCCAAGGGGGATGGCCACACCACAATCCCTTCTCTATGTTCCTCTTGGGATTTCGGGCAAGCAAGCATAGGTACCTGGCATGATTTTTCAATCCACTGGGTCTGCAACTCACATTGAGATCAGCCATGTGAGAGTTGAGTACCTTAACCATCATGCCACCTACTGGGCTACTTTTTGTTTTATTTATTTATTTATTTATTTTTGTTTTTTTGTTTGTTTGTTTGTTTTTGAAGAGGGTGCACACACTTGCTAGAGAAAGATGGAGGAAGAGGAAGCATACTCCATCGGGAACTGTCTGGCTGCAATCCGTTCTTTTCCATCATGTCCTCCTTACAGGATCCTCGGCACACACATGCATGTGCTGGTATGCTTCTGAAGCCATCCAGGTCTGGGATTCAAACCATGTGGTTGGTCATGTAGAATCTGGCTGGCCCAACTCTCACGTCACAGAGCTAGCCCTGTGTTACATAAACTTTTTTGTTTTTAATAATTATTTATTTAATTTTTAAATTCATTCTCTTATTTTAATTAGACCAGAAAGAGAAACAGAGAGAGAGAGAGAGAGATAGAAAAATGAGAAAGCAAGCCGCCAGATTTGGGATTCAAACTGTGGCCAGCCATGTGGGAGTGTCCAGCGCCTTAACCACCATGCCATCTGCTGGTCCCTGTTACATATACTTTTAAAATTTATATGAAAGTGTAATTTATACTTAGGTTGTTGATATCTCTTAATTTTAAAAAATTATTTATTTAATTTTATTTACTTACACATTTATTTTAATTTGACCAGAGAGAGACAGAGAGAGAAAAAGAGAGAGAGAGAGAGAGAGAGAGAGAAAACGACAAAGCAAGTCACCAGGTCTGGGACTTGAACTATAGTCAGCCATGTGGGAGTGTCCAGCTCCTTAGCCACCATGCCACCTGCTGGTCCCCAGTATCTCTTTATTAAGAGACAGATAAATGGGGGCCAGCAGATGGCATGGTGGTTAAAGACACCTGATTCACACATGGTTGACAGCAGTTCAAGTCCTGGACCTGGCAGCTCGCTTTCTCGCTTTTCCTTTCTCTCACTCTGTTTCTCTCTGGTCAAATTAAAAGATAATAACAACAAATGGAATTAAATAAATAAATCCTTAAAAATAAAAAAAGGCAGATAAGTTTATTTTTTCAATAGAGGATCTAGAAAAGTCAACTATAATACTCAAACGGATTTGATCCTAAAATAAAAAGACATATTTTCAATTCTTCATTTTCATTTTGTCATTGCTATATTGTTTTGTTCCATTTGCTCTTAAAATCACAATTCCTGGGGCCAGCAGGTGGTATAGTGATTAAGGTGCTAGACTTTCATGTGGTTGACCAAGGTTTGAGTCCCAGACCTAGCAGCTTGAAACTCGTACCAGGTGCATGTGTATGCGTGCCCCAAATCCCAAGAGAATAGAGAAGAAGGGACTGCAGTGTGGCCACCCCCACTGGGGAACAATTTCTCTCTTTTTGATTCTCTCTGTCTCTCCAGCAAGTATACATACCCTATAGAAAAATCTCTCAAACAAAAAATTTAGTAAAATGACTCTTTTAAAAGACCTTATACTAAAGGCATGTTTTTATAAGTAAACACATGAAATCATTGCCCTGTACAATTGTTACACTAATAGCTGAAAATGGTTAAAATATAGTGTTGAACAAAGCAGAGATATTTCAGAAGTTTTTTAACTCTTGTTAAGAAATTACTTGCCGGGAACCAGCAGTTAGCGAAATGGCTATGTCGCTGGACTCCCACGTAGTCGACCGCGGTTCGTGTCCCAGACCCGGTGGCTTAAAACTCACACCAGGCGCGTGTGCATGCGTGCCCAAGATCCTGAGAGGAGAATGGAAGAGAAGGGATTGCGTTGTGGCCATCCCCCCTGGGGGGTGATTTCTCACTTTCTGTCTCTATGTCTCTCTCTGTCTGGCGAGTACATGCGCCCTATAGTGAAAACCTTCAAAAAAAAAAAAAAAAGAGAAAGAAAAAAAAAAGAAATTACTTGCCTAAGGACTAGCAGATAGTGTAATGGCTATGTCGCTGGACTCCCATGTAGCTGACCACGGTTCGAGTCCCAGACCCAGTGGCTTAAACTCACGCCGGGCGCATGTGCGTGCATGCCCAGGATCCTGAGAGGAGAATGGAGGAGAGGGGATTGCAGCGTGGCCATCCCCCCAGGGGGTGATTTCTCGCTTTCTGTCTCTCTGTCTCTCTCTGTCTGTCTGGCGAGCACACGTGCCCTATAGCAAAAACCTCTCCAAAAAAAAAAAAAAAAGAAGTTACTTGCCTAAAGTTACACTTTAGACAAATGTGAAAGAGCTCTTAGCTATTCTTGGCACTAATCTCAGATTTTTAGGAACATGTAATCCATATGTTAAAATAATAATTCCTGGGAACCAGCAGTTAGCGTAATGGGTATATCGCTGGACTCCCACGTAATCGACCACAGTTCGCGTCCCGGACCCAGTGGCTTAAAACTCACGCCAGGCGTGTGTGTGTGCGTGCCCAAGATCCCGAGAGGAGAATGGAGGAGAGGGGATTGCAGCGTGGCCATCCCCCCAGGGGGTGATTTCTCGCTTTCTGTCTCTCTGTCTCTCTCTGTCTGGCTGGCGAGCACACGTGCCCTATAGCAAAAACCTCTCAAAAAAAAAATAATAATAACAATTCCTGGGCCGGCAGGTGGTGTGGTGGTTAAAGGCACTGGGTTCCCACACGGCCAACCACGGTTCGAATCCCAAACCTGGCAACTTGCTTTCTTGCTTTCCCTTTCTCTCTCTCTCTGTCCGATCAAAATAAAAAACAGTAATAACAAATGGAATTAAATAAATAATTCTTTAAAAAATAACAACAACTCCTTTAAATATTATTAAACATAATTTATTCTCTGCACTTAAATTACAAATTGGGAATATATTAAATAAAAAGATAAAAGCATTTTTTAGACTTAAATAATATTGAGTCATTGGGAAAGTCATGACGTATTTTTTGTTTTTCTCTGCAAAATGACTTTTTTTTTGGAGAGGTTTTTGCTATAGGGTGCACACGTGTCAGACAGACAGCGAGAGACAGAGAGAGCGAAAGACAGCAATACTCCCGGGGGGAATGGCCACATTGCAATCCCTTCTCCTCCATTCTCCTCTTGGGATCTTGGGCATGCACACACATGCGCCCAGCGTGAGTTTAAGCCACCGAGTCCAGGACTCAAACCATGGTCAACTACATGGGAGTTCAGTGACATAGCCATTATGCTAAGTGCTGGTCCCCAAAATGACTTTTCTGATTACCTAATAGGTCAATATAATAGAAGAGACATCTCAATTTAGGACAAATATAGTCTTCAGGAGTTCAGGGAAAAATTATTTCAGGCTAATATAGACAGAAAAAGCTCTATAAATGATTAAGGAAGTAAAGTTGAGCTAAATCTTTCTATTTTTAAAAGAGGTTTTTGCCCTAGGGCTGTGTGCTCATTGGGGAGAGAGAGAGACAGACACAGTAAAGGGGAAAGTAAGAAATCATTCCCTTTTTTTTTGAGAGAGATTTTTGCTATAGGGCGCGTGCGCTCGCCAGACAGACAGAGAGAGACAGTGGGGATGGCCACGCCGCAATCCCTTCTCCTCCATAGCCATTACGCCAACTGCTGGTCCCTCCAATTACCTTTAAAAATGGGAAATAAGACCACGGGATAAAGTTGACATCGTGACTGTGTGAATTAGATGAATTAACACGTAAAGAGTTTAGAAGAATGCCTGGCACACACACACACACAAAAAAGCTGCAGAAATAATTTTAAAGAAGAGTTCACATAATTTCATGAACATAAGTCCCTCAATACACAATGACACACATAAACATAAGTGAACAGATGACTTGCCAAAAATAACAACACATGTAAGAGAGAAATAACAGATGTAGCAAAATGTTCAAATTGGTAAATCTAGGTGAAAGATAAAGGAATTCAATAAACTACGCTTTCAATTTTTTTTAAGAATTATTTTTATTTAACTTTATTTACTTATTTCAATTTGACCAGAGAGAGAGAAGAGCAAGTGAGCAAGAGAAAGAGAGAGAAGGAAAGCCAAAAAGCAACCCACCAGGTCCAGGACACGAACCTTGGTCAGCCATGTGGAAGTCCAGCACCCTTAACTATCACAGCACCTGCTGCCCCCCTATCTTTCAATTCTTTAAAAAAATTTTTTTGCTATAGGGTGCATAGTTTGTCAGCAAAAGAGAGAAAGTGAGAAAGCATCCCCCAGGGGAGACGGTCATGCCACAATCCCTTCTCTAGTTCCCTCTTGGGATTATGGACAGACACACACACATATACACACATACTCAGCATGTTTTTCAAGTCACCAGGTCTGAGACTAAAACCAGTTAGCCACGTAGGATCCAGCAGCCTTCACCAATATGCCACTGACTGGCCCACACTTTAAAATTTGCATGTTTTGTTTTAAACAAAAAGGTAATACCAAAGCAAAATTTTTAAAGCAGACCCAGCCCAGTGGCATGCAGGGAGTATTCCTGCTTGGGTGGCTAGAAGCCACATGAATGCCCAAGTTCAGTTCCGGCAACCTGAACACACCAGGAATAGTTGCACGTGCCTATAGTACTAGCTAATTAGGAAGCTGGGGCAGGAGGATAGCAATCAATGAGACCCTGTCAAGAATACCTGTCTGTTTCTCTTCCTTTCCCATTTGCTCTCTCCCTTTTTCATAAAGGGGAGGGGGGGAAGCCACAGATGTCCTTAGAAAGGCTGGACCCAGAAGCCTAAATGTGTAGGCAGAGGACATAGTTCTAGTGACTCACCACAAAATGAAAAGTTTCACAAAGTTAAAGGTATCTTGCCATCAAGGTGATTTCAATACATACCCGTGAGTCCAAAGGTATCTAGATTCTCCTGCCATCACCAGCAAACTCCGACGAGGCAACATAACCGGCACTACAACACCACCTGGGTGTTTAAAATCCATGACAACCTTGAAATAAAGACAAAAGCATAAAGAATAATCCCAAACTTCACACATTCCAAGGATAAAAATGATTCATTGAATCTGGCTATCTTCATAAATTAATAGAGATTAAAACATGATAATGGTTTGTTGTTTGTTTTTTTGAGAGAGCTTTTTGCTACAGGGTGTGTGTACTAAGAAAGAAAGAAAAGAAAAGAAGAGAAAAGAAGAGAAAAGAAGAGAAAAGAAGAGAAAAGAAAAGAAAAGAGGAAAGGAAAGGAAAGGAAAGGAAAGGAAAGGAAGCAAGCCAGCAAGCCCGCCCGCCCGAGGGGATGGCCATGACACAATCTCTTCTTCTCCATTCTCCTCCTGGGATTTTGGGCACGTATACACACGTGCCTGGCATGAGTTTCAAACTATTGGGTCCAGGCTCAAACTGTGGTTGGCCATGTGGGAGTCTAGTACCTTAACCACTATACCACCTGCTGCCCCAAAGCATGATAATCTTTATAGAATAGACTAGCACAGTGGTTCTAAAACTTTAGTGTTCATAATAATCAACTAATAGGGCCAGATAGTGGCATGGCAAAAACACCATGCTCTGTGAGGTTGACCCGGGCAGGAAGTTTCCAGGTTTACATCTGGAGACTTCCCTGAACACACCAGGCATGTGCATATGTGCTCATGACCCAGGGCTGGCAAGCTGAGGGTAGGTCACTGTCTGAGAATCCCGTTGGGGAGTTTATCTTCTCTCTCACTCACAATGGAAGAAAGAAACTTAAAAAAAATTGCCGAATGACAAAAAAAAAAATCATACTTCATTGATAGATGTTATGGTATGAATATTCCTGCCCAAACTCAGGCTGAAATTTAATTACCAGGCCAGCAGGTGATAGGGTGCTTAAGGGCTGGACTCCTGCATGGTCGACTACAGTTCAATTCCCAGACCTGGATGCTTGCCTTCTCACTTTCTTTCTGTCTCTGTCTCTCTGTCTCTCTCTCTCTCCTCCCACCCCCGGATAAATTTAAAAATTAATAATAAATTAAATAAAATAAATAATTGCTTTTAAAAATTTAATTGCCGGGGAACCAGCAGTTAGCGTAATG